AATCGAAGCTGCATCGTCTCCGGATAGGCACAACGAGAAAGCACTGCTGGTGTCACTTGAAGGAGATCGCAAAGCGGGCATAGAGCTCGAGCCTTGCCCGCGGGTCTCCGATAAGCAGCAGATATTGATCGAGAGGGACGGGCAAGTACTGCCTGTTAACCGATCTGAAACAATGTGCGTACATTGAGGCAGGCCAATCTGGGGGAGGATCGAAGGCTCCAAATGGAAGCCGATGAACTGGGTTTGACCGCTTGGTTGGACATGGATTTGTCGACGGGGTGATAATGACGATCCGCGTCTGCGTGCAACCAGAAGCTAAACGCCTATCAAAGCAAGGTGGGGGCTAAGAATTGGGGGGTTTAAAACGGAGAGATAATAGTGAAGGAACGGGACGATAAAGATGAAAAAGCGTAAGAGGGTGAATAAGAAGGCGGGAGAGATTGAGCAGTAGCATCTAAATCCCCCATTTGCCCTGCACTATGCAGCAGACAGGGCATCGTTTATTATCCACTGCGACAGTCAGAGCATCAAGAAAGTGTTTAAGGAGTGCATTGTTTTCGGGCGGGCAACACGCAATTTCTATCTGTTTAAGGAAATGTTCATAGTATTGCAACGTGACGAGCCCTTAACGTGGTGCGATGGTTTGATCATATCTGTGCCTCATTGAGCTACGTTGGGTGGCACTCCCAAGTGCCTTCAGTGCCACTCATACCAGATAGGTCAATGGTTAGGGGTCAGACTAACTCAATCTCGCAATCGCCCCGCTGACTTGCGGGCAGGCTATTTAGCCAAAGGCTCGGTGCGGAGGCATCTAAGATAACTCACTACTTCGGCTTGGGCAACCGGGTAGCATCACACCCACTGACAAAACCATGGACTGTTCAACTGCAATATCGCTCTCAGCTGCAATTTTTCTTGCTATACACACACACTCACACGCCACCTGTTCATTTGTTACCAAGCACTGTTATCCGTTACTAGCTGATTCCTCTATGCATGATTCGAATCCCGATGGTTTCGTCGACACTCTGTGAGCTCGCCCAGTCGCACTCCTTCAACCTCGGTTTTCGTTCCGTCTGGCATACTTCAGTGTAGGTACACTCATGCAGATCGGGCAGCAAACTGATCTTGCCCGCACCCTGGAATCCCATGTCATCGATGTTTGCTGTCTTTCCGAAACGCGCCTAGTACTGTGATTAAGTTGAGATCCCCCACTGACCACCGAGCCATATTACACCTACGTCTATCTGGTGACTCAGAAGCAGCAGCGGCGAGCTTGGCTGGCGTTGGCATAGCGCTAAATAGCAAAGCCGAGGCCGCACTCCTGGACTGATTCTTCACTAATAACCGACTGTGTGCAGTTCAGCTTCAGGAATCGTGCAGGATAAACAGATGTCGTGAGAAAAGTGACGTAACTTGTCGGTGATCTCAGCTTACGCAACCCCTGACTGCAGTCCCGACTCGGTCAAGGACGATTCCTACAGTGAACTGCATCAGCCATTGAGCAGACATCGTTGTCCTTGATTAGGATCTCAACGGGCGTGTCGGTCGTCTATTATCTTGCGAAGTCACCTCGGTGGCCACCATGCTCTCGATGAGAGCCGCTCAGATAATGGAGAGACTTATCCCATTGTGTGAACATAGTCATGTTTCTCTCGAGCACCAGCTTTCGGCATTCGAGGAAACGTTCCGCTGCTTGGCGACCCCCTTCCGCGTCGCAATCATGGTCTGAGCTTGATCAGATCGCTACCAGATTTAGATGGAGGGGTAGTGTAAAGGATTGCAGAGGTAACTGGTCCATATTTGTTGACTCAGACCATGCTCTCGTTTGTGCGAATACCTGCATGAGTTTCGGAGGGTCACTGCAAGGTAGACACAAATAAACTACCTACTGTCTCGGTTCAGCAGAGGTATAAAGCTTCCTTGGTCGATGCACTCAGTTATGACCACCAGCAAAACATTGATGAACATCGGAGGTTTATGCAGGGCACAATGATGTTTGCCAAGCAGTTAGTCTGTGTTCTCACTCAGCACCCTATGAAGGTCTAGATCTCCACGCGCTCTTTGAATCTAATTGACAGCCGCAGAAATATCTCAGCGAAGTCCAATCATAATGAGGTGCGCCGTTCTGTCAGTCGGCAACTCAAACGAAGCCTACGCAGTGACCGTAAAGCCTAGTGGTCCCAGTGTGCATCGGAAATGGAGACCGCTGCCCTCTCTGGCAATACTCGCAAGCTCTTTCAGCTCATTCGATCCACTGGCCACAGTAAGCCTGGTACCAGTGAGACTATTTGCGAAGCTGATGGTTCGCCGATTGCCAACCTACAGAGAAGGCTGGATCGATGGACCAAACATTATCATTCCCAGTACAATTGGCCCTCACCGTCCACTTATATAGCCTGCGAATACAGCTGCCCGCCCTGGGTCGTCACAATTGATCCACCCAGCGAAGCGGAAGTTTGTCTTGCGATTCGACATGTGAAACAATTTAAGGCTACCGGCTCAGACGGACTTCCTCCGGAGCTGTTCAAATATGGCGGCTCAGCTAGCATTCGCCAGTTAACCTCATTGTTCTCCAAAATCTGGCATGAAGAAAAGGTACCTTCCTCCTGGGGCGAGTTAGTTATTGTCCCGGTTTTTAAGAAGGGTGCTCGCACATAGTGTACCAATCACCGGGAGATTAGTCGCATTTCGGCTGTCTTCAAGCTGTTTGCATCCATTATACTCTGTAGAATATCTCCCATTCGTGAATCGCAGTATGGAGAAGAACAACCTAGCTTCCGACCTGGTCACGGGTGTATGGATCAGATATTCACACTCCGTCAAAACCTGGAACGCCGCCACGATTACCAGATACCTACCATCGTTGCATTTTTGAACATCCGTGCCGCATTCAGCTCGGTTGATCGACCTGTACTATGGCGTTGTTTGCCAAGGAACGGTGTCCCAGAAAAGTACACTACCATCCTATGCGCACAGTATTTCCACACCTCCGGCAGAGTGGGGGTGTATGGCAGGCTTTCGTCGTCCTTCCATGTCAATGGCGGTGTACGACAGGGCTGTCCTATGTCCCCGTTCCACATCAATTTTGTGATTGAAGACACCCTAACGAGAATTTTAAACGGTTACCAAAATTTTGGTACACAGCTATTACCGAGCAAGCGAACAACCGACTTAGCTTATGTCGATGATATCGCCTTACTTGGTGAGGACTCACAGAGCATTCAAACCGTTCTAAACCGCTTGGCGATTGAGGCACCTAGATACGGAATGTGCTACGCCCTATCAAAGTGTAAAGTGCTGCTTCAGGATTGGCACTCACCCGTTCCCGTGCTCACCACTGAAGGTACACAGCTTGAACAAGTGGATAGCTTTGTCTACCTGGGCAGCTGTGTGTCTGATGGTGGTATTATTGGAAATGAAGTTTCTCATCGCATCGCTAAAGCGCGGTCGGCGTTTGTCAACCTGCAGCACTTGTTGGTAAAGCGTAATGTTTACAGTGGCACTGTTCGGGTAGTGTTGCTATATGGAAGCGAGTCATGGCCAGTTCGCGTGGACGACATGCGCCGGCTCTCGGCCTTCGACAACAGGTGCTTGAGGAGGAGTGCTCGTGTGTGGTGGCAACAAAACATTTGAAACAGTGAAGTCAGACGTCGTATCTTAAAGAATGCAAGTATTCCCTTCAACAAGCTAGTTTTATCGCGCCAGTCCTGGGAATGTCAGCTGAGCGTTTGCCCTATCGCGCTCTGTTTGCACCTGCAGGACTCAACTGGAAGAGACCACGTCGTGGTCCACCATCCACCTGGCAACAGCATATGAAATGGTTGACTTCACGCGTTGCCACCGTTAGATCCACACATATGCCTGATTGGAGGCCAAAGAATGAGGAGTGCTGATGGCTAGAAACAATTCAGGATATGGCTCATAATCGAAAGCAGTAGAGGATCTGTGTACATAATTGTTTAGATTTTGATACTTAATGCTCACCGATTGAAAGGACAAAAAAGTAAAAAAGGTGTGCAAAATAAAAAAATGTTCCATTTTCTTTTTTATTGCGACACAATAGCTGTAGTGTGTTGCTCACCTTCAGTTAATGCGCCAAGATGATGACACGGTGGTAAACCTGACCTATTCCCGTGATTTCCATGGTTGTGTTTGGCTCTATGTCTATTCAATAGACTGCTGCAAAATTATTATAATTATTATTGCGTGGGCAGGATACTGTCAGGTTACCCAGGCCTAGACAGGAGAACGATTAGACTTCTCAACCAAAGCCTTTGGTTCAAAATCTGACCGCAAGACAGCGGGTTTGGCAGTAGGCTACAAGGTGTCCGTTTAAAGGAATAAGGAGCCACCCTCACTTCAACCGCCAACCTGGACGATCAGGAGGCTGAGTTTGTCTGGCCTCTAACTATTGACCAATCTGGTATGAGTTGGTCTGAAGATGCAAAAAGCACCATACATTACAGCTCAATGGAGTAGTGAGGTACGAAAACCGTCGCACCATGGTGTGGTCGAGCTTCATTGCGACGGATTACATGCTAGACATGCTCATGGATAGGAGATTCCGTTGTACTGTTATTCGCTTGTAAGTGATGACAGTTTGCTGCCGTCACCTGTGGCTTGGTGGTATAAGCTGCTGGCTAGTAGCGTTAGCCACTAGTGTCGAGATGCCATGTGCTATTCCTGTCGGAGCCGAGGTATGCGCACTACTGACGAGTATCAAAAGAACGAAACGGCCGTCTAGTGCTTCTCTGGGTAGGCGAATGACTATCGAGCTTGTAAGTATATGCGGTGAACTAACGATGTTAGACGTATGCAGAATTCAAGCACATGAGCGCAAGTACAAACTGGCGCAAAAGCACGAAAGCTCAGCAACGTGCACGATGTCACCCAAATGCTTGAGTGAACAATGGGGGTGAAAAGAACTGAAAAAAACACGCGTGAGTGTCCGCGGAAACAAACGAAAAAACACGAGAGGCCATCCCGGTAGATCTCACATGATGCTGTTCTCACGCTCCAGCTTCCGTTTGGTGTTTTCCACAAACGTTCCAAGGCGGCGGAAGAAACAATGGTCAGCCGGCTTCGCGGACAAACCGATGCCATCCGTCCTTTTATACGCTTTTCCCATTTCAACAGCAGTTTTATAGGCTGAAAAGGATGAAGGGATTTATCGGACGGGATTTGATTGGTTCAAATTGACCAAACATAGCAAATAGCATAGGGTAATAGAAAGTAAGCAAAATTGAATCGGGACTGCGCAATGAGCAGTAAGCGGATCTATTTGGAAGCGGCCACTGCACACAGCGAACGGGATGCGAATGACAACATAACACCCAAACACACTAACAGATAACTACGCGCTGAGACGTGCCGAGATTGTGCCATCAGGTTTCTAATAATGCAAAATAATAATGAGAGGAAGTGAGGACTGGTTGCGGAATCGAAATGCAGGGTGAAAGCGTCCACATCTTCTTAACAACACACGATCACAAGTAGGAAGCCATCGTGTAAAAATTAGGTTAGCATCAAGCAGACATGTATGGTTGAAGCATTCAGTGGCACAAGCGTGCGGGCGTCGTAAACAGCATTACCTTACAGATAGCCAACAGCATCAGACACACACTCTGAACAGGTGGCTCGAGTATAAGGAGAATAAGAGCAAACGTGCAATCGGTGTCAGATGTCAAAGATGTGAAGTGAAGCCCTGAGCCAAGGACACGGCGGATCGAGTGGACCTCAAACCCGAACACACAGCAGTCAGTTTGGCAGCAATTGAACTAAGTTCTTGGTGTCAAACGAACAATTGCCTTTCACTGTTCCGAATATTACGCGATTCAAGTAAAGGTGGGCAAAACAGTCTACCTTGGCAAGTCGTAGACGGTCACACGAAGTGTGCCCAAACCAGCGTAATTTTTTCTGCTTCATCTGTCGAGAAAACAAACTAGTCTGCCCACTACAGCCTTGTACGTGATTATGCAGCCGAGTGTTGAGGACCGGATGGCACCCAGTGGCACAAACAACGTTCCACAGGTACCAATAGTCAAAACACTGAATACACACCAGACCGAAGGGACCGAGTCTCATTGCTGTAGAGAAGAATGGGTCCCACTGTAATCTTGTAAACACAACCGCTAATATTGATCTAGAGCTCCTGATGCCATATAAGGCACAGGTACAGGAAGACAGTTCCAACTCCCATAGCAAGCGAAGCGATGCATTACTACAAACGCAGCTACCAGGATGAATTAATTGAGTGACTGCCTCGAGTTCTCCGTTATTAGAAGTATGGTAAGCTGCGCGTCGAAAGAGCAACGTGAATACCAAATGATGAAGCCCAGAAAAATGAACGCATTCGGGTGAGGATTTAGCTCATGTTAACTATAAAATTTTTACTTGAGATGGCCCACAGAGTATATCACTTGGGACAATGGGACGACGATTGTCGTTCGTGAAGAGGACCAAGATGAACACAACGCTGAAGGTGGAGACTTACCGGTCTCTGCGTCCTTGATCACTGCCAATGCGGCGCCCGCCTTTTCCTGCTTAAGCAGGTGTTCCGCAAAGTAAATATGAGCCTACAAGGAAAGCAAAATGATGGCTAATCAACTTCAGACATGAAGTAACCAATGCAGTTATGTAGTTAGCAAATGCTTAGCATAACACGGTACTTTGGCCGCATACTTATCGTATCGCCCCTTCACCGTCTCGACAGAGTTTGGGGAATACGCATGGAGTTAGGACCAAATACACCGAATCAGTGTAAGGTGGGTGTGGGATGTTCAATTGCCGCATCGAATAGAGCCGAAAGTTACCTTTTTCTGGTTGTGCAAGAATGACATAATCTATGATAATGGGGACATGTTCAACATCATCAATACACGTTAGTTGAGGGTGAGAAACACACCTCAGCTAATGTGCCGCAATACAAAAAAGTGACAATACAAAAAGCAAAAGCAAGTGATATAATGTTAAATATTATATTATGCAATTCGTAGGAGATCGGAATCGGAGGGGAATCTAAAAGGGATGGGATGGACAAAGAAACGCAACATAAACGCCACTGGGGCCGGCTCTTCACTATATCAGAAAGTATGTCCAACTGTCCAACCAAACGTGTTCATCGTCTTTAGGACCCCAGCCAGTCGGGATGCACAAACCGACGATAACTTCGAAGTGAGGGTTTCCATTTCTCTCGACCAAGTCATTGCTTGGCCTCCCCCATCCTCTTCCAACCGCACCTACAGCGTGTAAACAATGCACGTCGCGGGAGTCGCTGCGCTGGCATACGCAACACGTGGCCCAGCCACGTGAGGGACAGTTTCGTAAACCACGAAAAATGAGGAGAAAATGGCGTCGCGGCGATTTGAGGGCGAAGATCTAGGGACCTGAAGGCAGCGCATGTCTGTCTACAGCCGGCAGTAGCTGTCCGAATACTCACAGGTTGTTAGAGAACTGGGCTGAGGAACATTGTGGTAAGGCTGTGCCGGATTCAGATTCGTATTGACTCTGCTGAGTGAATTTGAGATGACCGAGTCAACGGCTATACACGTGCGTGAAGAATATTGCAGCCTTCGGGTTAAAACCTGGAAGATGCCTTAGGATGTGTAGCAGTCCAATGAAAGATGATTACCAGAATTATTGGCAATTTGAACTGGTGCTTTGTTGCAACATATGAGGAAGTAAAAAATAAGGATAAAGATAATGGAAGCAGGATGGCCTAGACGCTCTAAGCTGATATTCAGAGTCAAAGCCACACGCACACCTTGGCAACAGTGCACGATCACAAGCAGCTGGCTACCATGCGATGCTCATTCCATCTCGAGTCGTTTTACACACGAGTTTTCAACTTACTTTCATTTTTCGTTTGCGTTCAACCTCATTTTCTCACCATTATTACTTGCCATTGACGTGGAGAAGCGAGGCGTGGCACTTTGGTGCCTGGATCATGGTTGTTCAACTGAAGCGGACTGACTGAACCACCATGTGGTGGCATCACGAGACAGCACCTTTGCGGCTTTCACTGCCACACGTCATAATCAGCACCACCTTGGATCAGAGGATGGACCCAACGCAACAAAACCATCATTGGTCTGTGTAAATGATGGCCATGCTATAACAATCTTGGCAACTGAATGTTTCACAACAAAGTTTAGGGTGGTTAGGCTGGTGCTCGGTTTTAGAATCCCTATCACACAATAACACTGGCACAAGTGCACCAAGTATCACGAAACAACAACCGTATATCGCAGTCCGGAAAAAGGGCTTCTATCTGTTATGAAAAGCATCGTCCGCGGAGCACGGCAGTGTCTGAATAAATGCACATGTCGGTAATCCCAGATTTGAGTCGCAATCCTGCATATCTACCTAAAGAGATCAAACAAATACGTAACTGTTAGAGAGCAGAAGGGGAATTAATTGTTTTTGAGAAGATTCGTCGCGGGTGCATTCAACCAGACAGCCCGTACACATAGAAGAAAGTGTTAGATGGCCGTTGCGTCCTAATGGAACTCGTCAGAGGAGCGTATCTGAACATATGACCTTACACCTACACGTCAGCTGCTTATGCCATTGAGCCATGGGCGACGGCGACCGATCGCTATGACTGATTCCAACTGTGATATTGGGCGGCTCATCCTCTACTATCATGCATGTTAGGAAAGTGCAGAAGACAGGGCTGGTCCCCTATAGCTACGACTACATTTGCAAGCCGCCGCCAATCGAGGTGGCATGTAAGGTGCTAGGCTGATTACTTAGTGGTAAGGGGTTTTTAGTTCTTGAGAAGTATGAAACTGTTTCTGGAGCGTAGTTTCTGGAACGGGCAACACCTGATACTTAGCTGCTTGAGATACAATCCCAATGACCGAACTGACCAAGATTCTGCTCAAAGTGGACAACGGCACATATTGTGTGTATGTGGTAACCTATACATGCACTTATGTTGATTTGATACGCAGGTGAGTAGGCGCCAACAAGGACCATAACAATGTCCACTTTGCCCAAACGGACATGAGAAAGGTAGCCATAAGACCGAACAGGATATCCACACGGGTAAAGTAGCCATTAACTCAAGTTTGCAACCGACTCCTAGGTTCCCTTGAACACCGACTAGAGCCGCGATGAAAGTTCACATTCGCTGTCACGAATGTCACACAATATCACAGCAGGTAGATAGCGATCACGATTTCAAGTAATAGGTAACATGACTAGAGTTTCCGTTAGCACTTCAACGAACTTCAGGCATGGGTCAGTCGGTGGTATAAACTGAAGCTCCCCGTGCGCATAAACAAAGGCTTGGTAGGACGAATTCGGAATTCTAATTTCTTTAGAAGCAGAGTTGGTAGAGAGAAGATGCGGAAACAGAAGGCCCACATTCTAGTGTCATAAGAGGAGCACCGTTTCACACTTTACATGATCCCAACAAGCCTCATACATTTAGAGACAACACTGTTAGTAGCTGCACCGGAAAGCACACTTAGTGAATCAGCTTTTGTGACTAAGATCCTACATGGTCCAGTGCAAACCCCGGTATGGAGTTATGTTCCCAGTTTGCCCAAGTTTTATGTTAGACAAGGTTTCTGATGACGAGCTCCAGCCGAAATACTTTGAACGTACAAGAGAGTTCCTTCAGGTAGAGCACGGATTGACCGGCACGACCTACAGGCTGTTCCGGATTTCGCGAAAAATCAATAAGCACATCAAAATCGTAAACAAAGTTCTCGTCCTCGACAGTTACAGATCATCACAGGCGTATGTTGCAAGGAATATCTGGAAAGTCGAAGTAACTACGTAACGCTACGGTGGGCAACATCCGTGAACATTGGTGGGATTCCACAAACTCACAGTCAATCATCCTTCATGTGAATAAAACACAGAAAAACCGGAAGCCAACCATTTTGGGCTCCAGTTTTGCAAAAAGCTTCCCTGGTCTTCGGTGTTTGATGTGCTTCTTGTAGCGCTGTACAAATCCCACTAATCGGTGGAAACTTCAAAGTTACTTATCATAGATCAAAAATGCTCAGGACATCTGGTCAGCTACAGTGGTAATGCAAAAACGTTGAACCCCTTAGATCAAATACTAAAAGGGATTAAGTTTGTGCAGTCCACGACCGGGTAAAAAAGCAGTCGTCTGAATTGTTTTAAAACGGTAAGAGTTGCAGCAACCAGTGAACCAGCGATCGGTAAGAAGTAGGTGATGCGATCGATACACGACTAAATGACCCTATCCTGAGAACACTCCAAGTTTCGAACGCACTCGAGCTAAAGTGCTTTCCCAGCGTTACGAATCTGTGGAGGTACAGAGACGAATGTAATCGACGCCGATATTGTGACTCCTACGGGAGTCATTTCCCTCATGTTTGCGAGGTATCGGCAGCAGATACTTTCAAACCGCGAGAGTCGCGGGGTTGGATACACAAAGGAAATGATGTTGACATAACAGCGATAGGATCTTAAGGTTGACAAACTCCAGCGCATCCATCGGAACGATCTCGACAGGAAAGAGGAAGACGGAGACAATTGAGTACCCGCGCAACGAAACTCAATAAGATAGCAGGAAAGCAATGGCGGAGAGGTCAGTGGGTCGAGGTTGGAACGTGGGCAATACATGAAAAAGGGAACTCACACATGTTTCATAGCAATACCGCTTAAACTCTGTGTACTTGCTCCACTTTCCAACCACTTTCTGCTCGTAAGGCTTGAGGGCTAGGCCTGCGCAGGCGAAAGAACAAGAGGGGGAAATGTTGCAGGGAGAAGAACTGTTGCGACCGTAGAAGGGGGCACATTGAGGGACCTAATCAGAGAAGTATGGGAAACCTGAGAGCAAAAAGCTATGACTAAAATGTGCGCGAAATCAGTCCAGCTCATGGATACTGATTCAAATCTAGCAACCATGAGGGCTTTCGGGTTGCTGAGAGAGTTTACAACTGAAGTGCGACCAGCAGTAAGAGTCACAATAAAAGAACCACAAGTAAATAAGGTTTCCCAAAGGGATAGCCCAAAGTTTCCTTGAAGAAAAATCCCGAACGAGATGTTTCCACATGAAGAGAAAATAAACTTCGAATGCGAATAAGACTCCCTCAATAGAAGCATGTAAAATGAGATACGCTGTGAGAATATAGAGAGAATGTGGCGCTAGATAGTGTATATGGTAAGCAATGATCACAGTAATGAGGAACTAGGGATAACGGAAGTGAGAAAATGGGGTATTTTTTGCACAAACGTGAGAGTGAAAGATGAAGTCAGCTCACCAGCTTTTTCGTACGCTGAGGAAGTGGCCATGGCTAGGCCGGCGATGAGGCTAGGGTCGTGTTTCAATTCGATCGCACGTGCCAGAGTGACTAGGAGGAAAGACGGAAGAGAATGGTGAAGATCAACAGGTAAGCGTATGATAGGATGGTCTTCAGTTGGAAGGTGTAAAGCAGAGTTTGGAAACAATACCCAACTGCATGCATCGTTTTGACTTAAAAAGGAGTAACTCGTAGCACTTTCCCCCACCAGTGCTATGTCAGGTCACTAAGTGCTGCGTAAGATGCCTGGTGAGTGCCGTGAATCGGTGACCAATATGGGGGAGAAAATATGAAAAGGCGTGAGGCCACCGGTCCGATGGCTGCCTGCATGCCTCTCGATGCATCTACACATACCCAAACAGCGCACGAAAAGCTGTCTAGATGACAATGACAGTGCGTATGCACTCAATACCGATACTTCCATGCAACGCGACCACCAAAATTGGCGGGCGTGCTAGGGATGCAGCAGGATCACAAGCAGTTCGAACTGATGGGCTGTGTGTAGTAATAAACCCGGACGGTAGATACGATACAGTTGCTCTCAGGGGTTGTTCTCGATTCCCTGGTCTAGATTTTAGAGATACATAATGTCGCTGGTTGAAGACTACGAAAGTCATGGATCAAGGCTGATGTTAATGGGGGACATGTATCGCTGTTTGGCGATGGTTTCCCTTCCCTTCCCTAATAAAACAAGCAAATTAAAACACTGAAAAACTAAGTGGAAAACTGGACAAAAAGTTGCATTTCTTCTTATTCCTACCGCGTTTTCTTATTCAGCAGAATTCCCAAGGCACAATAGCTGTAACACAAATTGTATATATATATATATATATATATATATATATATATATATATATATATATATATATATATATATATATATATATATATATATATATATATATATATATGGTGCTTGGTTGGCGGCATCCGGTTTCGGATTCGCCTGCGCCTACAGAGGGACCATGGGTGGCTTGCGCTGCACCACCCACAGCTCCAACCACGCACCCCATATCCAGTGTAAACCCGAAGGAATAAGATCGGGAGGCATGTGAATGGAGGCCACGTTTCATCAACGGAGCCGGCCCACACTCCTTCACAGGCAAACACAAGCACGCTGTATTTGGGGAATCAAGCGCACACAAGGCGGTGGCTGGACCGTAGTCAGCTCCATACTGAATGCATGGAACCACTCTTTGATTCTAACACGGCCACAACGGCCGTGCACCCCGTGCCCTCCAGCAACGACCAACTGTCTCCTAGAGACGGTATAGACGAGGTATTGGGTAATAGACAGGTAGGCACCTTGTCAACATGCACATCAAGCGCAGCCACACCGGGATATCAAGCAAAAGCCAATCACTTGAAACGACAAGATGAAAGAAAATAAATCCAACAATGCATAGAGATACGGTGACATAACTCTTCGCTAAATTAGCATATGAAGTAAGTTGGTTAGCAACGAATCCGCGATAGGTAAAAATGTTCACAACTTACTTAAAAATGCTACGAACGCAGCAAAGTTATCGAGGATAAGCGCAATTAGCGTAAGCAACGTGGCCAGTTAATAGAAGATTATTCAGGTAGGCAGAACAAACCAAATAAAGTTGAGTGAAATCTATCCAGCTTAAAAAGACCTAGTTTAAGTGTAAGTTGGTTTAGCCCAACTGCGGTGAAGGAGCACCAAGAATGCAACATCAGCCTCAGTATGGGATATATATATATATATATATATATATCGGTGACGAATTTCTACCTACTTACCACCTAGCTGAGCTTCTGAAGAGCTCAGACGACCTACTCGCGCATTCATATCCCCTTCAAGAACTATGAGATCTGAACTGGTAACACAACGAAGCCACCTGTTCAGTTCGTGATAGGTGTCCTTGGCGGCGTCGGAACTGCATAAGCGGAAACCACTAACAAACAGCGTTTAGTGCTACTCCGTGAAGCAACCTAAGCTGATGTCGTCAAACAGACCGTACAAAAACGACTGCTCACAGGAGTCCAACCGATCAACGATGACTCAGTCTCGGAGGTGAGAAGGACGCGCACCCCAGCTTGACCAGTGATTGCCGCATCAGCGTTTCCGGGTGAATGCAACCAATAGCGAAAGCGAAAACCAGGTGCTGTTAATTCAAAAGCTTCGTGAGGGCCATTGATCCTAGATTGGGATACGCAGTACACGTTAATACCCAGTGGGTCCAACGTGCGTGCGAGTGTAGACTGTTGACCTATTTGTCTTAGAGTGAGAATGTTGAACGCAGCCATGGAAACTGGACAGCGTGGCCACATAAGGGACTGTTCCAATTGGACATCCAGTGGGTGGTACAGGAAGGTAGCTGCAGTTGGTATGACTCCAGTTGCATTGCGCCGGCTGTCAATTAAGCTGGGAATTATAGCTGGAAGGCTAGTAATGGGGACTGGAAGAGGAGTAAGAGAAACAGGTGGGAAAGAAGGAAGGGACGCACCGCCCTGTTGTATGTAGCAGATAAGACGACCCTTGATAATCGGCGCGGCGGCCGATGCAGGATGTGGTTGAAATTTGAAGAAATAGTCATGCTTGCACGGGAGCGGAAATATTGTCTCGAAATCAAGACCTAGAAAGGCTGATGAAAAAGGTCACCAACCAAAGTCTAGCTCAAAAGCCTGTGCACAAGGCAGCGGGGAGGTGGCAATGATTTAATTTTACAGAAATGGACGCCATCCCATTTAAAAATCCCAAACTGAAGGACCAGGAGATAGGGGTTTGCCAGACTCTCAACCAACGACTAACCTCGTAGGAGTAGCTCACAACGGGCCCCGGGGGCGCCACCTAGTATGGCTGAATGGCCAAAAAGGTACACAAACCCTTGCATCACGTTAAGGCACAAGCTCGTTGCCACAGATGGGAAATAATAAACTAGTGCAAAAACAGTACAGGGTAATTAAAAGTGACCCTAAGTGCGGTGTTTTGTAAATTTCAATTGGACAGCTGAACCGGCCCCATGGTCAATAACCAAACACAGAAGTGCCAAGGACCCCGTGAATGCGTCATGATGGAGACAGCCCCTGATGCGGTCAAGTCTGAACCATGTCGCCGGCCGGCCACCCGGTGTTTTCATTAAAATTTACGCGGAGAGAGTCGACAGCGTATGCTGAGGTAGGCGGTTGGTAGGACTGCAAAAGGCGTAGCCTGGTCAACAGTCAGTTCGCGCTCAAAAAAACCCGTATTTTAAAACCGAAGAGTCTGTCGATAAAGACTTAAGTATTATTCACCCCGTACTCTTACCAAATACGAGCGACCTAGATAGATATTGGAGGCTAAGCGTGGCCAGTATTCTTGAAACATTCGACGAGCAGCGACCATACTTCTGCTGTACTTGTTAACACAGGTTTGAGAACTAGATTGTCAGATTGATAACTGGCCGTTTGCCTAGAAGATTTGGATTTTTGATGATAAGAGACTTGGTGATATGTATAGAGGCTCACTCGATGATTCGATGACAGAGGTGATATAACTACCCAGACGGTTAGAACTTGTGAGGTGTCGCGCTGAACCCTGAAGATGCGAATAGCATACCACAGGCTACACAGCACTCTCCATCGGTCTGAAAAGAACTGGTTTTGTATGGGGTAGGATTCGGCATTGTCCACACAATCAGGCGTGTGAAACCACAGGACACTCACTGTGTATGAACGTAGGAAGCCAGAGCTATTCACCCACATTTGTAACATTACTTGAAGGGTGTTTGTGAGTAGCGTAAGGTTCATAGAAAGTAGAAGTCACGATTAAACTCCACACAATAACCTGCCTCGACGGGGAACCGGACCCCGGTCTCACGAATTTCCGGTCCGCTGCTCTACCACTGAGCTACCGAGGGCTGATGATTAGGTGCGCAATTTAATACATGACTTATGAATGGAAGGATTTTGGTAAGTATTTTGTTCGTCGCAATCAGCCGACAATTCAGATATGTCGACCAGCTATCCGGAAAAGCATCAGACGGCCGTTTCGCCCCATTGGGGCTCATCAGTGGTGCGCATCCTTCGGTCCTCTGCGGAGGATCGAACCTATGACTGCTAGTGGCTCTTGCCAACTAGCCCGCAGTTTATGCAACTGCGCCATGGAGGACGGTATCTGACTATCATGAATCGTTAGCTAAATGTGATATAGCCCGACGCATCCTCCACTGCCATGCAGATGACAGCGGTCGGCCTTCCGGCGTCAGGACTTCCCGGTTACGTCAGCTATGGATCGACATAGCATTTTGTGGAATCCGTACGGGCGAATTGGTATTACTTATGACTTCTGCTCAGTGCGCGACGTATTGCCAATGAGTTCACAGTAACTGTCCTGTGTTGCAGATTGGCTCACTCACTCGTCGTTTCCCAATGGACCGAAGTAACTGTCCTTCTGAAGTCCAAAGGGTGATGGTAGATTACTTGAAGGATGTTTGTGTGTAGCGTAAGGTTCGTAGAAAGTAGAAGTCACGATTTGTAACATTAAATTGAAGAGAACATGGAGTAGAAGGCAGTCATGCGCACGTCGTGGGAAAAGCAAGCGATGGGGTCTCGTGAATTCTTGCGTGGTCTTCGAAGTTACCGTTGAAATATTTCAGGATAGAGAGCAGGTTGCACGATATACTCGTTAGGAATAAGCAATGTCATAAACCGATACAGACAAATGGAACAAAGGCGATCTTTAAATGTGTAAGCCATATGTGTGTATGCCGTCATTGCAAGGTTTAGTGAAGTGTAGACACCCGGTAAATACGCTCTCTGGAGTGTCCAGAATTCGTATGGCTTTCACTCATACAATTCTAACGAGGACTAGTGTGATTTGATGTAAGATGGTATGTCCGTGGAGACAGTGGCAATAAAGTGAGCACTCATACAAGCTTTGCACTACGTCGTAGGAATCGTTGTAAAATGCGGATGACATTCGTAAACTGTTAGTATGAAGGTGTCTAGTTTTCCGCATGGCGTTAAGTGGAGTGGGCAGACACACACAACCAGAGACTGCATCGTTCTTTAGCGATGGCGGCGGTAGGCTGTCGCATCCGGTTAAC